GGAATTATGAGTGACTTATAGAGTTTGGTTTTTGTTTGTCGAGAGAGGACTTTGCTTCTCAATTGCCTACTTAGTCCGAAGTAGCACCTAATGGCAAGAGTTATCCAGCGTTGGATTTCTAGGCTCTAAACTTTTAGTACGCATATTATCATATATTATAATATTTTTTCACATTGTTCGTTTTGCTTCAAATTTGTCATCGTTTTCACTGACATGTGACTTGATGCATTGTCTTTTTCTTCAAATGTTGCCGTTTTTGGTGATTTATTCTTTCAAAATGTCCCTTAATGCTTTGTAATAGTCGCTGTTGATGGTGTTTTCTTTATCAAGGTAGTCAATAACATTTATTCCATTCGCATCCCAAAATACAGACGCCTTAACCTTTCAAGTCGACTGTTGCGTTTTTACACGGCTTGGAGTAGGTTCATCGTTGGCAGCCTGCACTCGGATGCATACATACCGATCTTTGATGGTTGATTTTCCTGGTGCAGTGTCTGTAAACTCGTCATCCAGAAATGTTTTTAAGTTCAACTGTATTTATTCTCTGCAAAAAGCAATATTTTATCAACACACAAAACTCCTTTCTATCCATTTTTCACAATAAAAAGTTGCTTTACTCATAGTGATATAATTCATAAACTAATAATCCGACAGCTGTCTCCTCTTGAAGGTTATGGCTAACTAAAATTCATATGGATTTAATACTAATCAAGTAATTCAGGTCAAGTACTTTTCAATTGATCTGTTAAAGGTATAAGTTTGTTGAATGGAAAAATTTAAAAATCTATATTTAAAACCAATCGAGATTTTACTAGGAATAATGGAAATAGGAATATCTAATAAACCAACGACATGTACTCAATTGGAGGCCAAATTTCGGCGATTAATGGCCGAGATAAGAATAACTGTGGCTAAAGAACTGTGGGTCATATCATCTCAAACCTTCGCCAAAGCCATGACCAATTTGGTGAATTTTGGCAATGAGCCTGTGTAAAATATTTCGTTTTCGTTTCTTAAGCTTAAAAAAGTCACTCGCAAAAATTAATTTGAGTTGAATAAAGATGTAATGTTCTTTCAATTTGCAGACCTCCCAAGCCACACGCATTAAGAAAAAAGAAGACTATGCTGAAAATTTTACAATGACAAGTTCCTGCATCAACTTCTTATTGCCCGCTCTTATTCCTAATGCTGCAGTTGTGTTTAAAGTTTTGTAAAAGCCGATTTCGAACATATTTGTGCATTTTCTATCTGAGAATATTTTATATCAAAACCAAATGTCCGCAAATAGTTGAGGTATATTATTATATTGCATTAAAACGATTTATATATGCGATAATGATACACTAATAAATATTATTATCGTATGAGTTATACGAGTATTGACAAGAAAGTATTATTAAAATAATGCAAGGTCAAATGAGAAAATACATCAACTGTGTGAAATTTAAATATATATAGTATGTTAATATTGCCGTAATATTGGTGGGGCGCAAAGCGCATAAATGGGGGTTAGAAAAAGCAAGGTCTGGGCTAAAAGCCGGTTAAAGCGAATCCTCGCAGGGCTGTTTTGAAAATAGTTTTGCAACATAAAGTCGCGCGTTGTCATGGTGAAAAATTATTGCGTTGTGGCTAGTTGAATATTGCGAACGTTTTTCGGCAATCGCTTGCTTTAATTTTTAATTTTTGATTTCCCCCGTTTGCAGAAACTCATAACACAGCACCTGCTTATAGAGACTTACCTGACTTTGATTTGATTCGCAACGTATGTTCGGCATATTGGAACAATGGAATTATGATCAAGTTGTGACATCCCTTGGCATATCGCAAAAATATCGTTCAAGACCCAATACCATTGGGGTGCTGTTGATAAAATCAGCAACCTAAAGATGCATCTTTTATGGGAAAAGTCGTCGAAATTATTATTCCCGCAACATGATCGGATTGTCCTATGCCAAGCTACTAAATAAAGTTGCACCCGTTAGTAACGAAAGAAGAGCTTTTGACCATAACACAGAGAATCAAAAACACCAAAGAGTCTGGATTGGATAGCTTACCCAACAGAGCCCCGAAGGAAGCAATAAGCATAAAAACTGCTCGCTAAAAGTACAACGCTTGTATAAAGGAAGAGCTGTTCCCCGACTCTCGGAAAATACAGCGTTTGGTTGTGTTCCCAAAACCAAACAAACCACTGAAGAACCTTTATTGTACCGATCTCTGTGCATCTCGGTATAATGGAAAAAGTGTACGAAAATATAATACGAAACCATTTGGAGTTAGTCAATAAGCCGGCGGATCAGCTAAAAGACAATACGGCTTTATAACAAATATATCCACTATTGATGCCTTCGTCGATACTGCGAAATGTGCAGAAAGTGGCAAAAGATGAAAAGGTGGCTCAAAAACGAACTGCGTGCTGATTACCCTGGATGTCCAGAATGCGTTCAACACGGCAAAATCGGCACACTTAATCAAAGCTCTGGATGAAATACGCGCTCCTGAATACAATATAAATATTATAATGAATTATTTTAAAAACAACAGGCTCATTTTTGACACGGGCGAAAGAACCTAGAGCTATTCTATCTCGAGTGGATAACACCAAGGCTCATTATTATGGAACCTCTTGCATGACGGGGTGTTAAGAAGACAATAACCAGCAGACGTGAAACTAATAGCATATGCGGATGATCTCATGGTGTTAGTGTGACTAAACAATTATTTCTTAATAAATGAAATTAGTGATTAAATGGTCTACGTCAATGGTTCTCTTCTATGTGTCTGGAATTATCGATTCACCATGAAGTTGAAAGAACGAAATAAAGCTCACCATAGGGGGGTACAAGACTACTTTACAGCCGCAGCTGAAATATCTGGGAGTAATATTGGATTTCAAATTAAAATTTAAAGTACACCTGTCGTATACTTATGGTAAAGCAAACAAAATTTATAATGCTCTATCGAGAATGATGGCCAATAGCAGCTGCGTGCCATCCAGATAAATTATTAGCCAGAATGGCGCCTATTAACATCCAGAAAGAAGAATTCGAGCGATTATATCGGCTATCAGCGCCTTAAGCAGTATCGACAAAGGAGTGAAAAAATGTTACAGCAGCGATAGAATTCCTCGTTAAAAGGGCGCTGGACCGGACAT